TTTTCTATGGATTTGTCTCCCTCATCTTAGATGGACTATTGCAGGACAGCAGGGGGCTGCTTCCCTGAGCCTGCTGTAGCAGCCTAGAATACAAACAATATAGAATATGATGTTTATTTCAATTATTTGGGTAAGGCAATGCAATGCATGATAACATTAAGACTCACCAGACTTTAACTGTCATGGCCAAAATTCAACACCCTACCACATAGTTGTTGTTTTTTTGTCATTTGGTAAGTAGCTTCATGTCTGATTTAGTATCACTTAGTGTGGTTAAAATAAATTGTGGGCCTCTCAATACAATTATATTATTATTTATTATTATTATTACTACTATTATTATCACAGTTCAAATCTGAGCATGAAAGGGCTCTAGACAGACAGTGTGTCCCTTAACATGACTCTGGTATTGACTCTGACCTTTCTTCTTCATCTTCATCATTGATGATGGGTAAGGGTTCATCAGGCACATCTGCATCCTCAACTTCCTTGCTGGTAGGCTCAGGCTGCTTTACCCAGGAGAGCAGAGAGCTGCTTCCCCGGGCTGCCTGCTGTAGCTCTCTTTTCTTTTCTTATCCTGACTCTTCTTGGCATTATTCTACAAGTGGTAAATGTAAATGAGCTAAATCAATGTACTGCTCTGCTGTGCATGATAATTAAGGGTTAATCTCCTAGAAACATTTAACAGCAGCATTAATGTAAACCTATAAGGTTACTACTACTTATATTGTACTTTATGAGGCATTTTTACTTTACTTGAGTATTTCCCATTTTCAATACATTTACTTCTACTCCACTACATCTCAGATGCAAATATTCTACTTTTACTCCACTACAATTATTTGAAAACTTTAGTTACTAGTTACTATGTGGATTTTGATTAAGATTATTACAAAACATACATTTAATCACTTCAGCCCTAGCATAATGACGCATTGTGAGCGTGTAGATCTGCTATTTTCAAAAGTGCACAACGAGACTAAATGGATGGATGCAAGAAAATAAGTAAAGTTATAGTTTAGTTTGGCATCTGATTTAGGGGACTAAACAATACACTCGTTGTATTTGTTACCTGGTGGTTACTTACTTGGTCGTCACTAGGGCACTTCGTGTTGCTGCGTGCTGCTGCACCACACACCCGCCGTGGCCTGTCTGACTGAGTGACTGACTGTCTGCTCTGCGCGATAAGCGTTCACGTTGAGAGCAGGGAAGGGAGGGGCTGCAGCCAGGGCACGTACGGGAGTGCCGCGGGGCACGTGTGGGGATGTCTGACAAAATTACATCGCGCATTTGGGGCATTGTTGTATATATTAGAAGCTTTTAATCCAGAATTGATCGATGTTACCATGAGCCACATACAATAAACTGTAAAAAACGAACTTTCAAAAGGGCACATTGCTGTCCTGAGGGCAAAACGGGCAGGTGCTCAAGCACTACCTAGAGTCTATGTGTGCACGTCTCTGCACTGTGGCAATTGTAACTGTGATCCCCAGACCTACTTATGACCTGATACCTGATGGCAATCCTATCAGCCTCAGCTGTACTTTGTGTTAAATGCTATCTAGCAAACGTTAGCATGCTAACATGCTAAACTATCTGCAGTCTCACAGACGCACTTATCTACAGATACTGAGATATTTTCCTAATCCTAACACTAGCTGTGTGTCCGCACAAAGACCTAGGTCCTAGACCGTTAGATCATAATTACATTACATTACCTTACATTGCATTTAGCTGACGCTTTTATCCAAAGCGACTTACAATAAGTACATTCGACCAGGAAGACACAACCTTGAAGAAAACAGAATCATATAAGTACATCAGGTTTCATAGAGCCAAACATTTCAAGTGCTACTCAACTGGCTATAGATAAGCCAGTCATTTATCAGTATATAAGTGCTTTGTTAATAAATCTATCGCTCGAGGTGGAGTCGAAAGAGATGAGTTTTCAGTCTGCGCCGGAAGGTGTGTAAGCTTTCTGCTGTCCTGATGTCAATGGGGAGCTCATTCCACCATTTTGGAGCCAGGATAGCAAACCCACGTGTTTTTGCTGATGGGAACTTGGGTCCCCCTCACAGCGAGGGTGCAGCGAGTCGTTTGGCTGATGCAGAGCGTAGTGCACGCGCTGGGGTGTACAGTTTAACCATGTCCTGGATGTACGAAGGGCCAGATCCATTCGCAGCATGGTAAGCAAGTACCAGTGTCTTGAAGTGGATTCTAGCAGTTACCGGAAGCCAGTGAAGGCAGTGGAGGAGCGGCGTGGTGTGGGAAAATGTAGGAAGGTTGAAGACCAAACGAGCCGCTGCATTCTGGGTGAGCTGCAGAGGTCGGATGGCACATGCAGGTAGACCAGCCAGGAGGGAGTTGCAGTAGTCTAGGCGTGAGATGACGAGAGCCTGGACCAGAACCTGCGTCGCTTTCTGTGTCAGCTGGGGACGTATCTTCCTGATGTTGGAAAGCGTGTATCTGCAGCAACGGGTTGTAGCAGCGATGTTTGCAGTGAAGGACAGGTTGTTATCTAGGATCACACCCAGATTCCTTGCAGTCTGAGTCGGGGAAACAACAGAGGTGCCGATGTTGATAGTCAGGTCAAGAGTGGGACAATCTTTTCCCGGAAGGAAAAGCAGCTCAGTCTTGTCAAGGTTGAGCTTGAGGTGATGAGCAGACATCCACTGAGAGATGTCAGCTAGACAAGCAGAGATGCGTGCGACGACCTGGGTCTCTGAGCGGGGAAAGGACAGAAATAATTGGGTGTCGTCAGCGTAGCAGTGGTATGAAAAACCATGCGGGCTAATGACTGATCCGAGCGAGTTTGTGTACAGGGAGAAGAGGAGGGGACCAAGAACAGAGCCCTGAGGGACCCCTGTAGTTAATTGACAAGGGTCGGACTCAGACCCTCTCCAAGTTACCCTGTAGGTACGGTCTTTGAGGTATGAGGTGAGGAGGGAAAGTGCAGAGCCTGAAACTCCAAGTTTTTGGAGAGTGTGAAGGAGGATCTGATGGTTCACTGTGTCGAATGCAGCAGACAGGTCCAACAGGATGATGACAGAGGAGAGGGATGCTGCTTTGGAAGTGTGCAGTTCCTCAGTGACAGCAATGAGAGCAGTTTCTGTGGAGTGACCTGCCTTGAAACCAGACTGGTGCGGATCCAGAAGGTTGTTCTGATGGAGATAACAGGAGAGTTGTTTAAAGACAGCACGTTCAAGTGTTTAAGACAGGAACGGGAGTAGAGAGACAGGCCTGTAGTTTATAACATCAGACGGGTTGAGAGTGGGTTTCTTTAGGAGAGGGTTTACTCTTGCCTCCTTGAGAGTGTTTGGAAAGTGACCAGAAGTTAGAGAAGTGTTGATGAAATGGGAGAGAAACGGTCGAATATCAGGAGCGATAGTCTGAAGGAGGTTTGAAGGGATAGGGTCCAGAGGACAGGTGGTAGGGCGGGCAGAGGTAATGAGGGTAAGAACCTCACTTGGAGAGAGAGGGGAAAATTAGGTTAGTGTGTTGGTGGAAGGAGGGTCTGGTGACCCAGCGGTGAGTAAAGGTGAGTCAGAAAAAGAAGAGCGAATATCATCAACCTTTTTTTCAAAGTGGATAACAAAGTCGCTTGACAGAAGTGAGGAGGGGGAGGGGCTTTGGGAGGGTCCAAGAGGGTGGAGAAGATGGAAAATAGTTTTTTGGGATTGGAATAGGAAGATTGGATCTTATCTTGAAAGAAAGTGCTTTTTGCCTGAGAGATCGAAGCAGAGAAAGAGGAGAGGAGAGCCTGATAGGTTAGGAGGGTCGTCACGGTGTTTGGATTTCCACCGTTTCCGCTCTGCTGCCCTAAGGACGGTTCTATTAGCACGCAGTGCATCATTTAGCCAGGGAGCAGGAGGGGACTGACGAGCCTGCCGAGATGTGAGAGGAGAGAGAGAGTCCAGAGAGGATGAGAGAGTAGAGAGGAGAGTTTCTGCAGCAGAGTTTGGAGGCAGGAGTTGGAACGAGTCAGAGGAAGGGAGGGCTGAGAGCACCGATGAGGCAAAGGTAGAGGGGGAGAGGGAACGAAGGTTACGGCGGACAAGTGCAGGATGAGAAGAGATTAGTTTGTTATGTTTGGAAAGAATGAAATGAAGAAGTGATCGGATGTGTGGAGCGGGTTTACAGAGAGGTTAGAAGTAGCGCAGTTCCTTGAGAATATGAGATCAAGGACATTGCCAGCTTTATGAGTCGGTGGGGACGGAGACAGTGAGAAAGCAAAGGCGGTTAACAGAGATGTTAGTTCGTCTATCTTCCCTGTCTGGAGGTTGAAGTCTCCAAGAAGTACAGCGGGAGGACCAGTTTCAGGGATGTGTGAGAGGAGATTATCTAATTCCTCCAAGAAGTCCCCCAAGGCGCCTGCTTAACATCAGCAGGCTAGCATTGTTAGCATGTTGACAGCTTAGCCTTACAGAGCCACGAGCATGGCAACACACCTTCAGGCTTTTCACTTTAACAGTGTATCAAAATTAATGATGCTTAAAGGTTGCTTATTATACTCTTTTTCAACAATATATTATAGGTCTTAATTATTTACAAAACAAGTCTCTGAAGAGTTTGGCTGAAATACCAAACAGATCATGCATTGTAGCATCTAGCATGCCATAAACCCCTCTGTTTCAGCAATGTTTCAAAAGTGCCGATTCTGTGTATTTAGCTTTAATGCTAATGAACTGCTGCTGGCCACGCCCCTCTGAAAAGTGATTAGTTTGAAAAAACACAAAGGTGCTCTAGGAGGAGATTTAGGTAATAAGGTTGGTTATTGGCTAATGGTTGCACAACCCATAAAAACCTTGTGACATCACAAAGTGGCCAAAATCTGATCAGCTAATTTTTAGAGAGGTTTTTATATAGATAGATCAAGACAAAAAGAGAGCGAACCTTTTTCATCATCATCATCATCATCAAAGTTTATTTATATGGTTCAGTATGATACTTTATTATAATGTTTATGATAATTAAGAGTCTGTACGGTTTTGTTTTATCAGGAAGGTGACATGCCAGAGGAGGTGAACATTGACGACCTGATTGGCCTGCCTAACGATGATGAGCGAGTCAACAAGTTACAGGTAACATGACCTGCGTGTGAGAAACTTTAAGAATATTTAATAGTGCAGTGTTAAATAATGGTTTAAATTCACCTCATGCTCATGATTGAAGTCTTTCTGCACCAAGATGAAGATATTTTGTGAAGAGAACCAACATTAACACACACATATTCACAATAACCCTTACACATCATTGCTATTTTATGATTTTATTTATTTCTTTTTAATCTTAATTACTTGGACTATTCTGTTCAACAATTCACTCATATACATATGTTATAGTTGATACTGTAACAGTGATTGATATTGTTAGGTCTTAAAATTACTTTGTGTCTGGTTTGTTAAAACATTATCCCTCTTTCTTTGACAGAAGCTCCTTCGAACGTGCAACAACAACACAGAGGTATGTTTAACTTGGATGTTTTTAGATTTGTAATTATTATGCATACCTTATATGCAAATGTGCAGTTTAAGTGTCTGTGTACAAATACACACACTGGTCACATGGACCTAAAGGGAAGCTGCAGCTTCTGACACCTCATCCCATAGTTTCTCCACATGCTTTAACAATGGCTTTCTGTGCTCTCTTGCCTTTTTCTGTTCATTTAAAACTGAAACAATGAGTCTTTCTGGACTCAGGCGTTGGCCTCGCTGTGGCCTGGTCTGAGATGCAAACGCTGGCAAAAGAGCAACGAGGGTTAGTGTAGCTGCTGCTTTCTAACTCACACTCTGCTGGGGAGCATTGTTAAGAGAAGTCCATAATTTTTTCAAGTCTTAAAATAACATGTATGTGTGTACACTAAAATCATTCCTGTTTAAACTGGACATATAAAGATCTCCTTCTTATATGCCTCAGATGGTAATGATTGCGAAACTCAAAGTCCTTGCTCAGTGTAAAGATTTATCCCAAAGTGTATCTGAAGTCAATATGTGACTTCAACAGTCTGAGTTTTTCAAATTAAGTGGGCATCTTTCAAAGTAAATCTTATAAAACAGGTTCTGTGTTCCCATGCAGTGGATGAAGAAAAATCATTTGTTACAGAAATGTGTGTAACATTAGAATTATGTAAATGTTGTAACCTTATTTCAACATCAGATGAATGGCAGAATTTGCCTCTCAACACTTTCTTTGAAAAGGTTTTAAAGGGAATCTCTTGATAAGTAGTATGAAAAGAGGACAAATATTTATTTTTATTTGACTGCTGATTAATATCTATAAAACTATAACAAATGAATCTACAGTCTAACAAATGTTTACAGTCAGTATCAAGATAACTTTCCCAGTTGTACCTGTGTTGTTGCCATAACACAGCATGTCACTGTGATTCCTATCAGGCTAAAGACGCTCATACTCAGTATTTTACAAAGTAAGCTGTAGAAGAGGTCACCCAAAGTTTATGCTCAAATAAGTGTTTTTGGATAAGTATTCATGCATCAATGTCAAATATATATATAAAAAAACAGCAATTAGTATCATTAATAGTGTCAATCAATTTAGTTTTTTGTCCTTTTCCATCCCTTTTTGTTGAATATTTGAGATGTTTTAATGTCCATAGATAGAAAAAGCCCTTGGAGAGCAGCGAGGTCCCAGGACTGTAACTGAAGGCTGAGAAACAGTTCCATCTGTGTTCTGTGTTGTGACGTAAATGTGATGATCATTTCTCAAAACTGACAAAATAAATCACTAAAAATAAGTTACCAGAATGTGATCTGTGACATGCCAGAAAAAAACACGGTAACACTTTATATTAAGGTACACAAATTAACCATGAACTACTTGTTAATTAACATGCATATTAGCAGTATATTGGCTCTTTATTAGTCATTATAAAACACTTATTAATGCCTTGTTCTACATGACCATATTCTACAAGTAATATGCCATTAGTTGAGAGTTTTTCCTCAATAACCCTCAAATTAGTGCTGATTTATTGCAAGTAAGGAAGTTGTTGTACATTAGTTTTGGTCTTAATATGGGCCTAATAAGGCAGTAGTAGCACAATAATAGTAATTCTCCCATAATATATTCAACAAAAAGGGATGGAAAAGGACAAACTAAATTGATTGACACTATTAATGATACTAATTGCTGTTTTTTATATATATATTTGACATTGAGGCAGGAATACTTATCCTTTCAAATGTCTTTACTGTAATGGTGGTTTCCTTAATGTTGCAATTGTCCACTGGTAGTCAAGTTTCTCCCCTGAACTCTCCACCCTGCCTGCCTCCCACCTTTCCCCCCTGCCCCAAATGGTCCCCCCCCCCCCCCCACACACACACACACACACACACACACACACACACACACACACACACACACCACACACACACACACACACACACACACACACACACACACACACACACACACACACACACACACACACACACACACACACACACACACACACACACACACACACACAACCTTCCCTCATCCAGCACCAGTCACTTTTCTGCCCATCTCCACTGCACTGAAACTGTACTTTGAACATTTAAAATATATTATTAACATTTTAAATTGTATACCCCGTTTATCTAGGCCCTTTTTGTTTTGTGTTATGTACATATGTTACACTGTGGGACTGCGGGAAACGATATCTCGAGATTTCTGGATGTATAACACATAGTAATTTATTTTTTTTAACAATTTTTTTGACTTTTACCTGTCACTCCTTGGTAACAGTATGTTGTTGTTTGTTTGTTTTAGTTTTTTTCACCAACACTATTTATCAATTTCTAAAATAAATCTTTCAAGTTCTGAGTAGCTTAAATACACAATGTATGTACTGACCATAATATGTTGGTTCTATAGCAAACTGTTTAATGTCTCTTGAGACAGGCTCAGATCTTACACATCCTATTGTTTATGCTGCAATTCTGCTATTATGCTCACAGACCATATCACCATGTGTATGTGGCAATCAGCAATGTTTTAATTGAAGCTAGTGCTGAGGAAGGGAATAAGCAGATGTGTTTAGTTTAGCAGTACTAAATGTAGCAGAGAAACAGGCCCTTATTTATCTTGTCCTACTGCCTTGTCCTGGATACAAATAGGTTAAAGTATACAGAAAGGAAGGAATTATTAGCCATTACTGCTAAATGTTAAAGGAACGTGTTTCGTTTCAGGCAGGGAGGGGAGAGAAACTCCTTCTGGAGGGAACTTTGGGAATTTAGCCTTTGCAGAACATTCACATGAAACCTATACTGTATACTCTAACACACTACAGGAAAGGGAAAACCCCCAAAATACAACAGGGCCACTTTAACATGGATACTGGATCATCTGGGATCATGAATCATATTGAATATACTTGACTTTACATTAGTGACAGCAGACATTATACTTATGAACAAATAACATATAGGGGTCGTATTGACACATTTAAAAGACCCATTGGAACTCTTTAATTGTAGAACATGAATCCCTCTCTACTTCCTGTGACGCTGTTCCCCTCAGGCCTTCATCAGGGATTTGGTGGTGAAGCTGGAGGGAGTTCACAAGCAGGAGGAGCTACAGAGCGAAGGCATCGAGCATCCCATCATCAGCCACAGCCACTACCGCCACGAGCCCTACCACTTCAACAACCACCACTAACCCCCCCCCCCCAAACCAGGCTCTCCGAAGACCCCTCCACCCGGACACACTGCTGCAGACTGGCTGTTCTTTTGAACTATGTAAGGCAAAGACGGACACAACTCACTAACTAAGGCATTATATCTCAAGTGCTCCTGGTACATAGCCTAGCAAAAATAAATAACAACAACAAAGTTTATGGTCCCAAAATGTCTATTCCTATTTCTTAAACCACTCATCAAAGAAATGAAAATGTTTGACTTATCTCATGTGCTAAATAGTCAAGAATATTAAATGAAATAGAAATTCATTAATATATCAATACATCATAGAAACAAATATGTTCTTCCACTCCCAGTATCGACCTTTATATGCAGCACTATAAGCTGTAACTCACGTTTTCTCGTCTGGAACACACTATTTTATCTTGCTCTTATTGATATTATCCTCCTGTCCCCAAGTTAGATGCAACAGTTCTGCACTAACTGATCAAGTCACTGAATAACAATATCATGTTTAACACTTTAGACACATATGACCAATTAACATTAGTTAGATTATGATGTCATGAATGTTACAGTATTTATTGTCATGTTCACAGTACATGTGTGACACTGGAAGTAATCCTGTTGCATTGCTGACACACTGTTGCTTTTTCATTCTTTACTGTCATCCATCCCTTCTGTTTTTGAGACATAGTGTTACTACTATTTAAGTTGCAAAGTGACACTAGTCCTTTCAATTGCAGGAATTCTAAATAAAAATGTGTTTCTCCGTCGGTTCATGTTTCATGTAACAAATGGTGTTCCCCAGGTCAGGAAGCACTGACAATGTGGATTACCTGAACAGTTTACAAAGGACGCTGATTACCTGATTATTATTATAATTATCTACATTTTTGCTGAATGTTTTTAAGGTTCAATTTAATAGATTTATACTGTTTTGTATCCTAAAACAGAGTGGGAAACGGGTCACTAGCTCTTATTGTTATCTCTTTTTAATGTGTCACAGTATAGTCACACTAATGATGCAGCATGGCCATGACTTAGTGTCCAATGCATGTGCACAATTTGAGCAGGAGGGTAAAAGTAGCACGAGTCAATACATGCAGACAAATTGAGTACAAGGGGAAGAAATATAACACATGAAATAAATGCCAAATTCTTTACAGCCCACACTCCACCCTTCCCACACCAGAATGACCAAAGCAGGCTATTACATGAAACATCTGGGCCTGTATGTATAAAGATAAGGTTATTTAGAACACTCTCTAAACTTACAGGTGAACAAATCTATTCAATTGTGTAATTGAGAAGCTGTGTAAAGAAACTCAAATCAACCTTTAAGCAAATTCTAAGTATTATATTTCTGCTGACCGCAGGAACTCTTCAGTGTTCCCATACTGCCCACATACAGCGAATCAGCCCATGAAAGACCTTCAAGTATCAGTCATCACAGCTTCATACACACTTAACCTCTCATCAGATACACCATACAACCACAATCACAGCATTCCTGTTTGATTCCAGCTGGATACCTATCTCTGCCGCAATACCATAAATAATCAATAAATCTAATACTCCATTACAAAAGAAACATTTAAAAAAGCTTAATATTCCATTACACATTTATCTCAGGGTGGGTTCAAGTTTATCCAGCATACAACACCTTCTGTTCTGACTCTACTACTACTACTACTACTTTGGGGAGGAGGGGTCCCTCTCCCAGGAAGGACATGCAATAGATACAAATTATAACATAAGCAATAAAAAAAGATGGATCCAGGTGAATGTCAACCATATTCCAGGTGCCGCCACTAGGTGGCATATGGGGGCCACAGAGTTCAGCTGTGTTTGGGAACTGTTCACCAGAGCAGTTCTTACCTTGTTGATTTGTTTCTTTGCCTGGTTATTTTTTTTAATTGCACAATACAGCGCTGAGCCATTAGCACACACTCCTCTCGTAAATCCCTCAGCTTTACGATTCTGTTCTTTGTGTCACAATAGAGCTCTGTCATTCCTTTAGTGACCTTGAAGCTCTGCAGTAAAGCAAAGACAATATAGCGACCGCACCAGAGTTGATGGGCATTTTAACTGGGATTAGTCCACTAAAGGTCTTCCGCTGAGGAAGATGACGGGTTGATGGCGTACCAACGGGATTAAAACTCAAGGCCGTGGACACTGAATCATCCTCATAGTTCCCTTTCCTCCTCTAACAGAAATCACACACACACACATACACACACATACTTAAACACACACACATTAACAGACAGACAGACAGACAGGGTGTGTAGAGCTAATAAAAACTTTAAACACTGCAAAGGAATGCTCTGTATCCTAAACTGCACCTTTAATGCAATTAGCCTGATTAGAAGGGTCCCCAGGGTGCAGGACGTGGGGTTGGAGGGTTGGTGGCACAGGAGGGGGAGAAAGGACAGGACGGGCCTTTCCTCAGGAAAACATATCACCTTCCACCACAATAGAGGCCGTCAGGAAACCACAGGCAGCCACATTGCTCTCTTGAGTCACAGAGTACTCTCAGACACGCTCTCACACTCATCAGTCACACACACACATCCACAGTGTCCACAGCCTGGCAGCTCGCTCCGCCAGCACACTCCAGGATGACATTGTAGTGAAACACTGCAAGGCAATCTCATCAGGTAAGTCTCACACTCAGTGTTTCAGTTTGGAATGTGAAGCTTTTATTTTCATCTGGGCTCATGGAGATAACAGGTTTTGCTCATTCACTCAGTTAACTTACCATTACTTATTAATGTCAATGTTCAATATTATAATGTTTCTCTGTAGAAATGATTGCGTTTGGACATTTTCAGTCTATTTGTCCTTACAGAAATTGGTGCCTTGACTTGCTGTGTTCTTGAAATAGGTTTGAAACAGTACTTGGCATTGATAGAAATAGGAAAACATGGTGTAAGTGTTGGTCTTATAACTGAAAAATAATCACACTTGCACTTACGTTATAGGGTAGAAACTCACATTTAAAGGCGATTGTCCCAATTAGACTTTAGAGTACTAAGTGTGTGAACATAATGAGAGCTGAATTATTTGAATTGTTCTATAATGACGAAGAGGCCCTCATAATGTCTGCTTTCTTCATGTCACCTTTTGTTCTCTCAAGGAACTGTTTTGCTTGAAAAGGGTTGTAAACCTTTTTACAACCATCAAGTGTTTCCCTGTCCTCCACCATTCAGATATCTGATGAGCGGTATAGAAGATGAGTTACCTTTATACAGCAATGAGAGGACGTCTAGCTGATGCTGATGTTGAGTTTTAAAGAGTTTGCTCCCAGATTCTATTAACAGAGACAAATACACAGAGATGATCACCAAACCTGAACGATGTGGAAATGGGACACTCAGAGGTCTGAGGTCTGTTTCATGGCAGTCATTTTGAGGTAGATCAGCTTTCATCAAAATAACAATTTCATCTCTTCTATTTGTCATGGATACATTTATATCTCTCCACATGGTGACCTAAACATTCAAATGCTAAGACATGTTTAGTTTGTTGCTATACCCTATTTGAGAGAGAAATACAGCATATTTAATTTCACACACCCTAAGATTATATCTAAATTGATGAGTTGAGGCGTAATCATAATACTTTTTTATTATTAGTAAAACTTTATTCATCGTTATTTTTTGGATAACATCTAGTGTTTCAAATGCTTTATATCAAGTGTTTCGGAGATGTTGTGACTACTAAGCTCTCTAATGTCAAACACCAATTTAAATGATAGCTTGATTTGCCTCTTACATGCGCACTTACTGTAAATTGAAACTGGATGTAATCAATCCTCCTGTGCTTGTGTTGTGAAGAGATTACATTTAAAGCTAACACCAGACTTCCGTCTGACACTCATCCAAAGCTACAGTGTAGCTTAAAACAAGTCTGTCTTCTTTGAACAGTGTTCGCTAAAACATAGAGATTAATAGTGAAATGATCACTTGGTTTGTCTAACTCAGATTTATGTTAGCTTTGGTTGGAATGCATTTATGCAAATAATGGTAACTCAGGATTTAGCTGAAGTACAGAAAACAAATACGTTTTAAGTACATAAAGACTTTGTAGCAGAGCAATTCTGATGTGAATCAGAACATGTAGTTGTTAATGTGAAAACAGGACATTATTTCTATAATTTATAATAATCATTATATGTTGAGCAGAGTGGTATAGCAGGTACGACTGAGATTCAATAGTTAACATTCCAACAAGGAATATTTTGGCATCATCTGACTGGTTTCACCTTCTTTTGTGATTATTTGACCCCAAAAGTCTCTTGAGATGCATATCATTGTGTTTGTTTTGTGCTTTTTGAGTATCTATTTTTATTAAAGTTGGGCTCATGTGATTTCTAAAATGGATTCACACATTCCTACAATAAGCAGGAGAAAGACACACATCATTAATTCTTATAATATTAACTATTATAATATTTATATAAGCTGTTGTTCAGCATGTGAACAGGCAGAAATATTTTTAATACATATTTCCTTATTGACTTAGTGAAGTGCCTTGCATAACCGTCATGTGAACGGATGTTTTTGCTTCCAACTATATATAAACCGTCTGATGGCTGGTGCACCAGCAGAAAAAGTTTTCCACAAGTTCAATTTCCTAAGCACTGAGAGGATGGAGACATGTCTTCTGCACAGGGATTTAACAGGTATTTTGTAGGATATCCTGCTTATTAAAGCTCTGTGGTGTCAGTGTTGCCACACAGGATTATGTGTCATGTTATAAATGACCAAAAAGTCCCTAATAGAGTCTGAGCAAGCATTATTTCTGAAGTTAATTTGATAAGCAGATGCTAATATACACTGAAAACGGAAACGTTGACTTTAATTAAATGTATTATGTCAACAGATTTCACACACCTCTATTAATTAATTGAAAGCAATAATATCACATCTGAAATAAAAATATGAAATAGGTTCAACTTAATGTTATTTTTCAACTAACCTAATGCAGGTATGTGAAATCTGTTGACATAATACATGTAATTAAAGTCACATTTCAGTTTTTCAGTGTAGTTGACCTTGCTAATAACAGTATGACTAAATCTGACGTTGTCCTTGTTTGGCAGTTTGGTAAACTCTCAAGTACAACCATGCCGATTCTGAAGAAGCTCCCGGGACGGTCCAAGAGCTCCCAGGAGTTCCCCCGAGCGAACGGGGAGCTGATCCTGCCCCGGCTGGACCTGGACCTCCAGAACCTGAACGACCTGAAGGAGCTGAACAAGAACTTAAACCCCTTCGAGGACATTGACCTGAATGAGGATGAGAGGAAGGATGGTGACATGGGCCTCTTCATGGGGGAGGTCAGGGGGAACCTCCAGCTGAGGTCCACCCGCGATGGAGAAGAGGAGGAGAACGAGGTGAACGCAGAGAGGCACGGGGCGGGGAACCCTAAAGGGAAGCCCTTAAGGGGGACCCTGGAGCGGATCTGTGGAGTGTCGCCGCTTAAAACCCTGGGAAAACTGGGGAAGGGGCTGCGCATATCGGGACGCAATGTATGGGGGGGCAACTCTCCTCACTTCAGCCCTGGAAACTCAAACAGTCTCCCACCAGAGAGGGAGAAAAGGAAAGGACTGCGCAGGGGCTCTGAAGGAATTATGTCCCTGCTCCGGTGAGGAGGGGGAGGGGGGGACAAAAACATTTTAGCCGTTAGCTGTAGGTCAATGAATTGTAAAGAAGTTCTAATACAAAGAGAAAACATTTGCAGCTGTGGAGGATAATCTTTTGGAGGGCACACAG